ACGACGAGGAGGAGAGGGAGAAACATGAATGATGTGGAGAGAAACGCACTCGCACATGGAGAGACACACGTTTTATCCCTGGCACACAGACACACACACACACACACACACAGACAGAAGGACAGACAGACAGGGACCAAATTATCCCTGTTGCGTGGAGCATGAAATTAGCAAGTAGCTCAGTGTGGCAGCATTAGCATGGCTGTTAAAAGGATACGCTGACACTTCTCAGGTTCTGAAATATGGTCTTTTTCCATATGGACGCTTGTATTTACCAGGCTGGGAGCTGTTCAGCGTCTGTAAGTGGCCCCGTTTAAAAGCATTCTGCAAGATGTGATTAAATGTGCCCATTCTTGGTGCAAAAAAACAACGGCACACGTGGTAATTTACTGCAACAAGAGCCAGAAGATTAGCTCAGATTGAGATTAAACAGCCAAACTAAATCAAATGCGCACAATGGTCCTTGTGTGATGCTTTGATTCCATTTTCAGGCTACTTTAAACTTCTACTCTACTACATTTGTACTGTTCAATGCTCCAGCTTCTCATTTTTTACATTTTAGGCAGTTGGTCAGACAAAGTGAGCAGTTTGATCACAAGACATAGGAAATTGTGAAGGGTACTTTTCACCCTTTGCTGATATTTCAAATACAAATTCACAAAATAACCAGCAGATTATTCCACACTGAGGGTTATCATTAGTTGCAGCTTTAGAACGTATATGATGAGGTTACTGTGAAATATATTGTGTGGTTTTATGGTGGATGAAAACATATGTTTTTGGATAAGTGATTGTAAATAAAACCATTTTCTGCCCCCCTTTGATATTCATGTAACACAATAATGTGATGTTTTTGAGTTGAAATATCTTCATTTTGGGGGCTTTTTCCCCTCTCGCTATTCATAAATAAAGCTCTACACATATTTAAGAGTGGTATGCATATGCAATCCGCTACCACAAGAAGAAACGCATTACATTGTTTCATGGCCTTCTTTGGACAGATTCATTCAGTGTTAGTGCCACGGAGAAGAATGACGGGGAAGAAAGAACTAAATGCTCCCATTGAGCTTGAATTTCTTTTGACGGCATTATTTAATCACAAGCATATATTTTTCTCTCTCAAGTGCAACCAAGAGGAGTAACCCTTCTAAAGGCCGTGCTTTATCTTTATCAGACTACACCAGGGTCTCTTGAATATGAATAAAACACCTGCCTGCCGACGGAATAAGAGGGAGATTGTGTGAGCGTCCCAGAAGGGAAGTGGCCCTCCTCACTTTTCCTTCCTATCTGTAGTAAGGGTCAACAATGAGACCAGGCCTCTGCAGACAGGACCCCGATCTCACACACACACCGAGCCTTACTCTCCTCCGTCACAATGCGTCTGACATGAGCATCAGTACTTCTCCCTGTTTCTCTCTTATTGTCTGACTCTGAAGGTCTCAGCGCACAATATATGTTTCAACAAAGGTATAGCATTTACCGCAGTTATGTGAGTTAATGTGCCGGCGTTGCATCGCAATGTTTCTAGTTTTCTCATCAAGTACAACATAAACAAAGGGAGGTTGGAGGGATGGGAAATCTGATATTATTAGTTGATGTTGCTTTTTACCCGCCCTTTGATTAACCTTAGCGGTTGGCAATTTAAAATGTAGCCTTAAGCAAGACGCGGTATAGGAGACGGAAGCACACACGGGGACAGAAACTATGAAAGTTAATTTTGAATGTATTTAGAGCCGTTCCTCTGGCATTCATTCCCTCAACAAGCCCCCCCCCCCCCCTTTCCTGCTATTCTCTGAGATCTCACTGTAATTTACCTTTCACTCTTTGCCTTCGTTTAGTGTTGTTTTTTTTAAAACGTGTGCTGCGGTCGTGCACACACCCCACAGCGTGCGCAGCGTCCCGGCCCTTCGAGAGCGGTCGCACGCAGGAGTCCTTGTACAGCTTGTAGCGGTTAATGTCATCCGTCGGCAAATCGCTACCGTCGCCTTGTTCGTCTGAAACGGGGAGGAGAAAAAAAATCAGATCAAATCTGCTCGTTCATCGCCTCGCGTCACTCCCCCAGCTACGCCACCTTTTCACCTTGTCTGGAGTCGGCCCGTCAGGGTATCGAGTTAGTCCCGCGTCAGGATGCTTTGTTTTGGAGCGATGAGACTAGTCAGACAGCCAGCGCAGCAGTTTGAAGACACCGTGACATTGCAACACTCTCATCTCCTCCCCCCCGTGCACCTTTTGCCTCCTATCCTCTCCGTACTCTCGTGCACTCCCTCTTACCCCTCTCCCTATCGACTCTTCTCCCCTCCCCGTACCCCTCACCCCCACCTTCTCCCCACTTTGATCAGCAGCACTTGTCAGTCAGAGTCTCGCGTGTCTCAGCTAATATGGCTGCCCTGACACAAGGGGGGAGACCAGGCATAACGATGGGGGAGGAGAAGAGGGAGAGGCGAGTTTGACAGAGTTACCTTGACTCCCATCACAAACTTTATATAGCAGATCGTAATGATGCCAAAGCCTTCAGCTCATGCAGCAGCAGTGGATGGATAGGGCAGGAGAGGCTGTCAGAAAGAGGAAGGGAGGACGAGAGCGATGTGTGGTCAGACAGAGGAAGACGGTTTCAGGCTGTGCATTGTATTGTCTTTTGTTTCAGTTATACGTTGCAGTGTTGGACTGCCGCTAACAGTGATTGCCATTGTGCTATCATCATCATCTCTGGTGTCCTGCATAACACGCAAGACATGAGAGTGGTATCAAGTTTCTCTAACTCAGCAAGAAGACTGATAGGTGCGTTTCCCAAAATGTTGAAATGTCCCTTTAAATTATTTGACCTGTTGGTCTGGCAGCCTTTTAGTCTTGAGTGCATCCACGTGAGCACTATAAAGTGTTCACAGTGACATGGTTTATCATAAATTGTGCTTTCCATGGTCCATCATTTGTTGATGGACCAATGGAGGCAAACGGTTTCAAATGATTGGTGGAGCGCCGTGGAAATGAGCGGCGACCAATCAAAACATCGAGGGGGGGGAGAGAGGGGGCGAGAGAGAGACATTCGTAGAATGAGACTGAAGCAGGCGAGAGATTGTGAGAGCCGAGGATAGATGGAGAGGTGATTGAAAACGAGGGAGAGCGGGCAGACGGAGAGAGACTGGAATTCAGAGTTTCACAGTGCATGAGAGTTCATCGGTGCCCTCAACCATGAACTCACACACACACACACAGACAGAAGAAAGGAAATTAAAAGTGCGCGAAGCTTCTGTGGACCGATAAACATTGCGCCGCCGTACGCCACTCGTATACTAACTCATCTGTTTGTGCGCGGGAGTGTTTGCTTGTTTCTGTTTTGTTTGGATTGTAGATGCAAGGTTAGACCAACAAGCCAATCACCTGCCAGTTTACAACTCACATCACGCTTCACTGTTCACAAACACACCTATTTTTTCTCTCCCTCACCACACATTTTCTATTTCTATTACTCACTTTCTATTTCCCCCACAAACACAAACGCACACAAACACTCTCAGTTGGGAAATTCTGAAAATTGGTTGAACTAAGTGGGTGAAGTAAGAGGAAACCCAAATGACGGGAGACACGAAGGCGTAGGGAGGATCCAATCCGTCTAGAAAAACTCAAAACACAAGAACGGCAACAGCGCAGTGCGGAAGGAGAGCTGACATACAGCTGCTTTATGACCGCTTCTGCATCGCGCCTCTCGTTTAAATCCATCCATCCACTATTATTTCTTGCCTCGTTCCTGGAGGGAAATTCAATTATCACAGCAGAAAGGCACTTCCTGTTAATTCCTGCAGAGTTATGGCTCGCTGTTCTACACAAATGAGTACGGTGGTTAAAGAGCAGCGCTCGGTTACTCTGAGAAAAGTGGAAATGAGTTAATGCTGCAACCGCCTCCGTCAAATTGCAGTCCTGTAAATTAGATGTGAAAATGCGATAAACGTGTGCTGAGTTATTGGAACATGTGTGCCGCCCCGGGCTCTTCTATGCACTCACCTGTGCCAAAGAGTCTGCAGAGCATACTATTGGATTAAAGAGAGTGTGAGGGGTCAGCTTCCTAAAACTGTAAATGATGCCCGGGTTGTAAAAAAACGTGGGCGTCGTATATATTAATACGGCATCGCTTCTCAAACTATCGAAGTAGACGCATCGGAGAGCACGCATGAATAAATTCATGATTTCATGCTATTTACTAAGAGTGCGATTTGTGTGTTACTTCCACTCAAGTTCGTCTGTGAGTTGGCATGAAACGCACAGACGGCAGAGGCACAGATTCATGAGTGCAATTCCACATTTTAATTCCATGAATTTTTAAGCTGGAATAACGCACAGCATGTGGTTAAACTAAAGCCCCGGACGAGCGTGCCAAGAACGCATTGAGGAAAAGCTCACACATTAAAATGCTCTTTTGATATTCTATCCCACCTTTAAAGGGGGGTATACGTTCCCTATTCACTTACATTTAAAGGGCCCCGGTAATTATCCTCCCTCTGATAGGGCTCCGGAGGGAAAAAAAAAAATGAATAGAACAAGGAACATCTCATCCTTTGTCTCTCTCGCACTTTAATTCCCCCGCTCATTGCCGAGTCATAAAAAGATAATTCGCCAAACATAACGAGGGGCTGAAATAAAAAAAAGATGTGAAAAGAAGAGGGGATTTTGTATCCTTCTTTGTCTTCCTCGCCCTGCCAATGTAAAATTTCGGGATTTGTGAGCGATAAATGTTTTATCTCTCTTCTTCTCCTTCTTTTGGTGTAGAGGGCAGGCTAAATACATCATGTAAAAATGCTTCTTAATCTTAAAATGAAATGTGATAAAAGAAGGCGAGAGCTATTTGAAGTATCCCGAGCTTCTGTTTTAACAATGTAACATCACTGTGTGTGTGAAATGTTAAACTTGTTGTAAATGAACATTTGAATCTCTCTCTCTCTCTCTCTCTCTCTCTCTCTCTCTCTCTCTCTCTCT